GGCGTAGTCGAACGGTACACACTCGGTAAGTAATCCTATAATTTTTTGTTTATAGCATAGTTTATACGGATTACTCCCAAAAAATTATACGTGTTTTGGAAATGTTGAGTGGAATTAGTCTAGAATCGGTTAATTTTATAGAAGAAAACCTTTCGAACAGCCTTAGTCCGTAAAGTTCCCACCTATCGGGCTGCGATTGGCTCATATATTTAATCGTTCCTACAACGTAATTTTCGGTTAGCGTGGAACGTATCTAAGCGTTATAGGGGGGTCTCCTGTAATGCTTTTGTGACAACACAGACCTCCAAGAAATGACATGTTATTGAAGAAATAGAAAAACTCCTCCTAGTGTGGATAAATGAGAAGCAATTGGTTAGTGATATCATTTCCAAGATTATTTGTGAAAAAGCCAAGCAAGCTGCATAATGACCTTAAGATACAAGACATCACCACTTCTAAGGTATAGTAAATGAAATTTTCATTTTATTGTACAGTATGTATATATTTTATTTGCTGTTTTCACATTGTAATTTATTATTTAAAACATTTACAGTAGAGGCTCAATTATCCGACCCCTCGGTTAACTGACCGTCCTAGTCGGCAAATTTCAAATGTCCGCTATTGATGTGGCGCTACAATATTTGGCCATGTCTTGGCTACTTTAATATTATTTTTACGTGTTTTAGCTGGCAACACTCATTCGACCATGAAAGGGAGCCAGTATTTAAACGAGGCTTAACTTTCTAATTTTTAACGATACAATAGCGATGATTATTATTTTAAAAAATTTTTGTTAGGCTTAACATCGATGAAAATTCAACGCAAAGTAGGTTAATAGCGATATACTAATATACTAATTACATGGGATATAATAATATACTACACTAATAATGGATTTTTTCATACTTTTCGGTTATCCGCCCTTTCAATTATCCGACCAATCCCAGTCCCCAATTAGGTCGGATAATCGAGGCTCTACTGTAATTGTTTTATTTTTACCTTACATTATGTGTATCTGTTATTTAGGTTCATCGAAATAGGTATCATTCAGGGCTTGGGATTCAATTAATTCACTTTCTATTATTTCTAATGGAAAAAATTGATTCCGACTTCGAACAATTCAGAGTTCAAATGGCCTAGTATGACCAAATTAAATTCAAAGTACAAGGCACCACTGTACACAAAATTAGATCTGTTTTTTTTTTTTTTTTATCATTTATAAGGCATGTGGCAAACATGTTCCTGAGCGGGATTTAGCTCTGGGGGCATAATTTGGACACCATTGCCATATCCTATGTCTGTTTTGGCTTCAAAACTTAAATTTCAGTTTTTAATTTTTATTTTTGCAGAAAAGGTAAATTAGATTTTTTTCATTAGCCAATTATTTATTTTTGCATTTGTTTACTAATTTACTTGTGTATTTTTATTCTATTGATGCTCTAGTTTAATTATTCTCTCATACACCTTACCTTATATTTTCATTTTATTTTGCAAAGTTCCCAATAGCATCAATAAATGCAAACCATAAATTAAAGAGAATTGAAAACACACTATTTAGCTGGGAGTTGGAGACACTGCAGCTGTATTGAAAATTAAACAAACTTATAAACAGAAAATAGTATGCCTACTCCTCATAGTTTTTTGTTTTGATTGTGTTAATCACAAATACTTTATTTCAACAACTTTCAAGTTGTGTCAGTCAACAAATTCAAACTTTTTTGAAAATGGAGAATTATTGTTTATAACTGTTAATAAATCAAGTTGCAGTTGGTCAGCATCTGAAGAATCCAACAAGTTTGACTTATAGAAGACACTGTTGAGATATGTGACATTTTGTTTGAATATATAACATAATATATTTTTTATTCCTAGAATGTTTAAACACTTCAACTTAAGAAGGGATTTTCCCTGAGTTTTCAAACTGCCCATTAAAATTAAATGATTTATAAATATGTTCTTGTTTAGGTATTAAAAAACCATAAATCAAATATGAAATAAAAATTTATTTTCATATTTAAAAATTCAAACACAATAAATTATTGCTTGCAATTTGCATGGAAAAAAGTTTAAGACCAGGATCAAAAATTCATATTTTACAATATTCTAAAGTACAATAGACATTGCAAACTAATTTGCATACAGCCATATATTGTGTTTTCAGCCTTAAGTAAAAATAAGATCCAATAAAACATTAACAGGTGAAGAAAAAGGCAAGATATATATATGCATTCAGAGACTGGGAAATCTGAATGTGTCATTGCAAGCCTACTACAAAGATTAAAGACAGTAGTTCACAATTACTTAAAGGACCCTGACAATTATGGCAAAGCTAAATGTTGTGGTAGGCCTAGATATTTTTCTGCTAGAGATAACAGGTCAATATTGAGAACAGCTGTGTCCTCTGGTATGTGATTTAGTCAGATTACAGCTTCACTACAGCTACCTGTAATACCAAGAACAACAAGATATGTTCTGAAAACAAGTTCAATCCACACAAACATTAAAATGCCAAAACTGACAACCTCCCACATGGAAATGCAGCTGGACTTTGGAATGCATTTCACATTGGCCATTCAGATTTATGGAATCACAACTTTTAGTGAAAGAAAAAATTTAATCTAGATAGCCCTGATGGTGTGTGATACTGTTGGCATCAACCTCATCTTTTATCACATTATGTATAAGATGAAGGATCTGTGTTGATGTGGGTAGCTTTCACTCATCAATTAAAATCAGCTACTGCTTTCATTTCACCTCATTCAAAGGCAATTCACTATGAAGATGTGTTGGGAAATTATCTTCTACCATTATGAGATGAAGCAATGGATGAACATTTTATTTTCCATCAGGATAATGATCTTATTCAAAATGCTGCTTCACTCAAATATTTTTCACTTCATTGTATTACTTTTTTTATGTAAAAGGTCTGGTGAATTATAAGTATGTTCCTGGCAGTAGATTTGCTAACAACGAGTCACACATTACCATTCTTAGTCAACTCTGTGATACAATAAGAGAAACAAAAAGTTGGCTTTTCCATTGTAACATTCTCAGTGCAACATGCTCTCCTAGTTGGTGATTATCTGGCAAATACCAGATACCTATACTTGTACAGTCTCCTTACTCACCTGACTCTACTCCTTGAATTTCATGTCTTCACTAAAATAAAAACTTCTACTGAAAAGATGCATCAGCAAGAGGTAAAAAAGTATTGTGATAACTGTATTCAAGGAGGTAATGCAAAATAGCTTGCAAGATTACTTTAAAAAGTGATACAACTGTTGGCAGAAATATATAATTACAGAAGGGTTTACTTTCATGGTGGTCTTCTGTAAATACTTGTACTATTAATGTTATAAAAATTATAGAAAAAATTTATTTTTACTCCAACATATTCAAAATACATACACACAGTTTTATTATTATTTTTTTAATACAAAACAGTAGAATATACATATTAATAAACAAGTACCCATCCTAAATTTGAGAATATTAGAATATACTAGCATTATGACTAATAATGAATTCAATATCTAAAAAGAAGAAAAATTTTAACAACTTTAGTTCTCACTACTGCATTGATATTTGTAGCTGCATTAGCACTTTCTAAATCGATCAATTCAATATCATATTATTATATAAAATCTAATCATGTGAGAAAACATTTGTGTGGCAGTTAGATTAGGCTTTACTAATACATTTTCAATAAAATATTCTTGATGTTCTTGATATTTATAAATTATTAGTGTTCTTTTTAATGACTAAAATATTTGGTTTCTGCAGTACACACAATAGTGAAAAATTGAAACAAAGATTAAAATTACTCAACAAATAAAAAATTTTTCTACATGAGTATTTTTTCAATAATAAATAAAATCCCATAAGAATATTAAATAATTGCAATCTATGTTAATTTTAATTTTTTTTTTAAATCTTAATGAATAAAACTAACTCTTATTTTCAAGTTACAGAAAACATAAATATCCAATGCACATTTCATTAACATTAATTATTCAATAACATCATACCAGTGTCTGTTCTGTTCTTGTATCATTTTTTCCTCTAATCTGAACATAAACAGATAAACCTTATTTATTTGTTGTTTATCTTAATTTTTAAACAATATATTATTAACATAAATTAAGATATATCCATATCTATCTATCAATTTAATATACACAAACTACATTTAAAATTATTTTCATTAAGTAAATACTAAGATACTTAATATACTCTAAAAATTAATTTTAGTTGTCTCTTTAAACAAATTTTCTATTTAAAAGAAATTAATAAAATAATTAAAAACAAAAGTTTAATTATTATGACTCTTGATTCAAATTATGTTATTTAAAAATTTTTAAAAATTGTTATATTAATACAATTTTCATTCAAAAAATTCAATTTACAAAAAATTTTTTGTTTTACTTGAAAATTTTAAACATACCTCTTCTCTTGGAGTTTGGTTTTCATTATCACCTTCTATTTTCACACGAACTACACCAGATTTATCTACCATTTCTTGAATTATACGGCCATTTTTTCCTATAACTTTACCTAAGAAAAAATAAAAATAAAAATACAACAACATTAATTAAAAGAATACATTAAAATATGCTTATTGTAACACTTTGGAACTTGCCTATATTGATAACAACAATAACCAAATGTTAACTTTAAGCAGAATAAGTACACAACATCACAATAAGTGAAAATTCTGTTTTTTTGTTGACTGACATTGAAAAGATACTTTTAAAACAATTATAAACAATTGAAGTACAGTAAGAAATGCCAACAAGTTAAACTACTGTAGGATGAAATGATAATTAAAACAATTGACAATGATTGCACATTATCACCACATAGTAAGATTGATAATATGGAAAGATATCTTAAAAAAAAAAATGCTTATTTACTTTAAGCTAATGAAACTATAATCAAAATCTGATTATGAAAGCAAAGTTTTACAGTGTATTTTAACATATCTTTTAGGACATGCTCATCCTGATAATATTAAATAACTGATGATAACATCTGAGATTCAGAATAGATTCTACTGTAATAAAACATTATATATTTTTTTAAATTTTATTATTTGTCATCATCATATATCATCTCTGTTATTGAAATTTAAAAATTAAAGAACATTCCAAAACAAAATATTCTTGCTCATAAAACTTCAACATTTTTATTTCTTATAAATTATTGACCATTACATTAAATTATACAGGGTGTTCACTAACATTTTTCCAAATATGCAATATAGAAAAATCTGTTTTACAAGTATATGTATTGTACATAGTGCATTAATTCCATTGCAATGTTTACAGTAAGATAAAACACACAAGTTAACAAATGTAATAATTTTTATATATATTTTTGGAATAATTAAAACCAATAAAAAAATAAATCTTCTAAATTAGCAGTATCAGGTAACTGTATCTAGATCTTTTCATTATTGAGTTAAGTTATATATAATACAAGGTATTTTTTTCTTACTTTATTAAGAACTCTTAATTCAACAAAATCAGGCTGTAAAATGCCATTAAAATATTTAAAAAATAAAACTCTGTTAAAGTACGAGATAGAAAGACTTGTCTGGAAACCTCTTAAGATTACAGTTGCTGGCAAATTACAAATTACACAATTTATTAAATATGATTTATTTAAGTTTTAACTTAAATGTTAATTTCTGGATAATTCAAGTGACTGTCATTGCCCACATAGTGTTTACCTATGTGGGCAATAGGTGATAACAGATTGAAAATTAGTAAAGAATAAAATATGCATGGCAGATTTCTCTGAGAAGATATATTAATATGGAAGTTGGGATATAGATTGCCTCTGCAAATAGCTGTTTTTTAAAAATAGGAATCATTATAAATATATTAAATAAAATTAACATATTATGTATCTAATATTTACAATTGTAAAGATATTTTAATATTTAGTATAAGTAGGCATACAGATAATTATATTTCTTTCCAAATGTTATGATATATTCTATCACATTATAATATGCTAATATTATCCTTGAACAAAAACAGTGTTAATATAGTTTCATATTATTACCAAACTGCTTACCAACAAGATTTCGAGGCACTTGGATGGATTCTTCAGCATATTCTAACATACTTCTTGCTTTTTTCACAACTTCTTCAGTCTATTAATATTAATAAAAAATATAATACCAATTAATTTATAGTATAAAAACAATTTTCAAATATTATAAATAAGAAATTTAAAACAAAATGAATAACTTTACAATTAAAAACTAATTTTAAATTCAATTCAAGAATAGTTTTTCCTAGAAAGTATATTCATTACTATTTTTACATATCAAATCTTTTTGAATTAATTAATTTATTTATACGTATGAGTAAATAGATTCATACTCATTATAAAATATTAAATCCAAATCATTGGATAAATTTATCTGATGATTTGATTTAAATAAATATAATTTGAGAAGCATTACATCTTATAAAAACCATAGAATTTATTAGAGTACTTTATAATTAAAATTAAGTTGATCATAACAGTTATAAATAAAGATTATTCAGTAATGAATTACAAGTTGATTTTCATATTTTATATCATTAATCCATCATTTTATGTTTATTATAATTGTGAAATAAATTTTATAAGCAATAAATGTGAAATACTTCTCCATAAATCTTGAATGTACAAGTAGATTCTTCTAAATCAATTCCTGTAATCCCTTCCAATTTTCGAGCATTTTGAATATTTACTCCATGAGCACCAATAGCTAAACCCATAAGATCATCCCGAACACTAAATGCTTCAACATATCCTGAACTTGAATGAAGCCTTGTATTCTGTTAAAAAAATAATATTTCATTGCAAATAGCAATTCAAAATATCAGTTTAATTAAATATAGAAACATTAAGTATTTTATTTTTACAACAAAAAAAATGAAAACATTAAATATTGATTAATTACTGTTATTATTTTTGTTAAAAAATTTTTGTATATAAAACAATAATCTGTGAAAATCATTTCTTTAATGCATGCTTAAAATAAACTTTAATTATCAAAACTCCCTCAAAACTAAAACACATCTTAAAAATGCCTCAAACACTACTTCCAGGATATATCATCTTGAGTGCACACATTTTTGGACTCTTAAGTGATCCTCTTCAGGTATAAGAACAAGTTTGATCAAATTCAAAATATCAAATAAATTAAAAACACTAAAACCTATAATCCAGCAATTTTTTAAATAAGTGCAAATGTTTTCACCCATGTAGAGCTTGGCATCATCAGGCTAATTAATCCCCAGCTGCTAAAACAATGGGGGAATTGCTGTACATATGTGCAGAAGAAAGGTGACATAAGACAAGATAAATGGAAGTGAAAGGATAGTAAAATTTATAGTTCGAAAAAAGACTTCCATGCTAAGGGGAAGGAATCAACAAAGTGAAAATGCATTTGCATTTACTCTAAAAATTGCTGGATTATAGGTTTTAGTGTTTTTAATTCAAGTATAACCAGTTTTGAATGACAAAATATGATTAAATAAATATTGCCAAGTGAAAGACAGTTGAGTTACTACACATTTGAAAAATTTTATAGAAAGCCAATGAGCAATAACATGTTTAAAATGAATGTTATTGGTCATTGGCTTTTTTACAAAATTTTCAAATGCATAGAAACTCAACTTCTCTCACCTATCTAGCAATATTTATGAAATCTTTTTAATTTAAGTGAACTTGCTCTTATACATGAGGAGAATCTCAAGTGGCCATTTAAGAGGCCAAAAACATTTGTATGCTCAAGACGATATATGCTAGTAGTAGTGTTTGATATATTTTTAAGGAAATTATTACAAACTTTAATCATTATGAATATATCAATTTCTTTAAATTTTATAACAGAAACTACAAATAAAATTAGAAAAATGCATACCTCTAACTGACGTGCTGCTTCTTCAGTCCTGTTTACTAATAATACTTTTTGACGTAAATTTCGAAAATGCATTTCACTCAACATTGAGGCCCTTTTCTTTGCCATTTCTGACCGAGCCTATAATTAAATTTAAAAAAGAAAAAGTATTTTTAAAAAAGAAGAAATCATCTTAAGTTTTTATTTAGCAACTTATACAAACAGTATATTTTAGCACAAATGCCTTTAGTTATAGTTCAAAAATACAAGGAGCATTCCAAAAGTAAGTACTGTTTATGTATATCTTCCATGCATTTTGGCAATGTCAAGGTCACTTATACATAGTTACTTCTTCCACTCAAGAATGAAGTAACCAAGCAATATTTTTTTCTTGTATGTTCACATTGAGGATCACTAAGCATTGGTTATAATGTTCAAAACAATCAAGCGGCCCACCAGTTATAAAATACAATAGGCAATTTTTTTTTCGAATGTGAGAAATGTTTGACTACATGAAATTTACCAGAAAATTTGTGAAACTTATGGACTAAATGTGATAAGAAGGTATGGTGAGAAAGTGGGTTAGAACATTTAAGGAAGAAAGGACAACATTCATAAGGAGTGAAGTAGCTGCCCATCCTTAGTCAATGAAGACTTACTGAATAACATCAAAGAGAAGATTCATTCTGATACAGTTCACAATATCTGATTTCTCTAAAATTTCCTGACATTTCAAGATCTTCACTGCATGAAATTGTGACTAAACACTTCCCCTTCAAAAAAGTCATATTTGAGATGGGTGCCAAAAACAATTACATATATTTGCAAAACGAAACACATGGGATCAGCCTTAGAACTTTTCTTGTGTCTTAGCCTGCAGTGGTATGAAATTCTTTTGAAAAAATGAATTTTTCAAAAGAATTGTCACTGGTGATGAAACATGGATTTTCCATGTGATACCAGAAAACAAACAATCATTGCAAGGTCAGAAATGGTTCAGAGTCAGGAGGCAGCAGAATTCTATGAACAGGGTATCTTCAATTTAGTGTCAAGATATTATAAGTGCCCCAATTTGCCTGCTAATTATAATTTAATGGTAATTAAATAATTTTTGTTTCAATTGCCTACTTTTTAAATAGCCAAACAGTACTTACTTTCTGGATGTGTCTTGTACAAACACCATCTTAGTATAAAATTCTTCTAACATTTGTGTGTTTGGTAAGCAACAAAATTTAAATAAATTGAACTATCTTGCATAAGTTCAACAACATAAATTAAAAATTTGTTAAACCTACCAGATTATATTATCTGTGTCATCATTACATAGAAAAAACAACTGAATATTTAACTATTAAAATTACTTACTATGCTAATAAAGTAGTCAAATTTACAACTAAGAAACAGTTGAGATGAACAAAATTGTGAAAATTATCAACAAAGAAAATTTTAAAATTTATAGTAAATATATAAATAATGTAATTTAGACATATTCAAGAAATATAATAAAATTTTTAATTTAAAAGTTGTTTTTTATTTATTAATTAAAATTAAAGTTTATTCTTATTATAAAGACTACATGTATTACAGATTTAACCTTCATGATTAATTATTTAGGATAATGTCATCTTAGCATCTGATATGTTCTTTATAATGATCAACATTCTTTACTTTAAAAATTTTTTTTTGTTGAAAGAATCTTCCTTATTGGTTAAGTTTATGGTCAAATCAAGATAATGTAAAATTTTCCACAAAACAGTTCAGTTTACTGATATTAGATGGTATTAGTAAAACACTGTCTATATTAATTTTCTGATGTTCTATGCTTTAAATTTATTATAATAAAAATAACTATTATTTGTGAAATCTTATAAATTTATGTATTCTAAAGCAAGAAGTTAGCAGTTTTTCAAATACTTTTATATAACTTATAGAGAGGTAGCTCATAGTTATAAGCAATTTTAATATAATACTACCAAGTCATTGAATAGTAAAAATAAATTTATCTATTATGTCGAAAAATACTAAGATATGAAATACACTACTGCTATAAGATAGAAAAATGTTTTATAAATATATAAAAATTAATAACTAGTAGTTGAAATTGAAAAAAGTAAGTTGAAGTTTGACTTCACTGCTGGAAATTTGTTTCATTACAAACCTTCTGTCAAGTGATTAGTGCAAGAAAATTGGTTTTTGTTCTTGAGATAGTGTCAAATCACAAAAGAGATGATAAGTATCAATGATGGGGCAATGTTTGCTTGTTATTCTGGTGTAAACAGATATCTTAAATATATTGGATTAATAAAATATCTGTTAAATATAATTTTTTGAAAATTTCTTATGAATAAGTTATAAAAAGTGTATAAATATTCAAAGAAAATATATTTCTTGTTAAAATATACTTTTTGAATAATTTTGATTATTATTGAAAAAAGAATGCTATTAGAAAATGTTAAACATTTTTAATGAGATGAAAGCCTGATTTGATGATCTCAACTTATGGAAAGCAGCCTAGAAAAAATTAAAATATTAAAATGTGGAAAGTCAAAACAAAAAATATAATTTTACCTTGAAACATTTTTTTTTAACTTTGAAAATCAATATCAATATACAGTAAATTTTACNTGGTGGGCAAGGCAGTATCTCCCACTCCAATTCATTAATTTTTTCCAGGGTTCATCTTGTGCAGTCTGGTCTTGCATTATCATGTTGCAGAATAACGCCACAAACTGAAATGGCACAGAGCAAAGAAGCAATTACCATTAATTTATACAGGAAAAATTTTTGAGTGTTCATAGACTCAATATTTTGAGTCTATGAACACTCAAAAATTTTTAATAATACAAATAACATATCAAACCTAAAATAATGCTAACACATAATAAAAGCAGGAATAATATGATAAAATACACAGACTATATAAAGTAGAGCTGTAAGTACAGTGTATTTATTGAAACTATACTAGAAGTACCCTCTAGTAAATACCCTTTAAGTTATGAAAGTGCCAATCAAACCTTTAAATTCCACTTTCAAATAATTTCATCACTATCATCCATCCTTTCTATGTTAAGCTTATTGAAAAGATTGGCTAATTTTTTCTTAAGTAAATTATACCAGAACATTATACTTTGTACACCCATCAACCTGCTCAAGCAATAACTTTTTCTATACTACTATATAAAGAGACAACGTATTTTTCGTTTGTGACCACTAACCGTGAAAACTACTGAACCAATCGTTACCAAATTTTAACTGTAGCATCTTTACGACCCCCGGAATGTTTACCACTAATCAAACCTGCAGATTTTTTATTAATTAAATAAAACTACAATGGATTTTTCATCTAGGGTTAAGGCTTTTATGCCCAACAGATGGCGCTACGAGTATGACGCCCTAAGTTTGCTTTTCTGTGAGGATGAACTAAAGCAGATCATCTTCTATCTATCTATATAAATAAAAATGTAATGTTCGTTTGTTCCTACAAATTCCTTTGAAATTTTCACACAACACTGCATTCGAATACGCATGTGTTTTTATATAATATACATATCAAAATTCTCCCACTGGGGGGAGATGAACAGGATTAAGGCTTACCATAAAGAACTCTGCTTCTATTTCTACTATTTTAGATGCAGTTTTTTTGCGTTTTTGATTGCGTTTTAATAGGGTATGTCAACAGAATATACACTAAAAAAGGATTTTTCAATATTCCCCCCGTGGGGGAGAGGGAGAGGATTAAGGCTTACCTTGAAGAACTTGGCTTCTATTATACTATTTTAGATGTGGGTTTTTGCGTTTTTGATTGCGTTTTAATAGATTACGCCAAGAGAATATACACTAAGAAGAAATTTTTCGAAAAATTCCTCCTCCACACGGGGGAAGTGTTATACATTTATAATAGATACATTTTGAGCCACAACAACGCGTGGCGGGGTCTGCTAGTATTTTATAATTTGTGTATTAATGGATGCACAAATAAACTGATAAAGCACAGATGGTCACAGACACAATCAAAAGATATAGAAGCTTCATGTTGAATATGATCCCCAGGGAAGATGCTTGGAGACACCTCTCACTTTTCACTGCTCAGAATGCATAATGCCCTAAAATGACTTGCTGCAAAACAAATGCTAAATGCTATTTTTGCTTTTCACCTTTCTTGTAAAAGAGAAACCTTCTTTTGAATTTCTTTTTGTTAGCAAAACAGGTACCAATATAGGTCTTTTGTAAAAGTAAAGTGACATAAAGGTGAACTTTTGATAAGCAGGATATACCTAAACAAGTTTATTAACATTATAAACTAAGGATAAATTTCTATTAATTATGCTCAAAAATGTTATATATTTTTAAAAATTAATTTTATAATATATAATTGTATCTTCAATTAGTAACTAAATCATATGTATTTTAAAATAAATATGTACTCACTATTATAATAAGACTATTCTTTTCTGGATTGAGCCTACATACTGCCGCACCTATTGCTTTTTTAAATTCTTTATGAGCTGATTCCATTTTTGAACTGAAAGAGAAAATTAAAATAATAATAATTCAATTAAACCATAGAACTTGTAATGTTATGCATTGCGATTATATTTGAAAGTTTAATTAATTATAAAAAAATTATTGCTTTTATCTATTGTATGATACAGTTGAAATAAAAATAGCATTAATGGTTCTGGAACTGCTTATTATATATTTAAAATATTAGTTTTCTATAAAGGAATCACGCTAAGTAAATTTTAATAAAATTAAATTTCATTAAAATATCAGATAATGAAAAACGTTTTAGCAATTTAAAGTAGCTAAAAAATACCAAAATAAAATGGATAGTCTTTCAGAGTACAAACATTTTTTCAATAGCACATTATTTTTGTTTATAACGAATTTCTTTAATATTAGGGCAACTGGAAAGTAATGTCATTTTTTTTACATTAAGATCAAACAAATAAATTTTTAACTTGTTTTTATTTTTAATCAATGATGCAATCACTCTCATTATCAACAATCTTTTGCCATCTGGTGCGCAAATTTTCAATGCTGGATCCATAAAAATTAATTGGTTTTTGAGCAAAATATCTGAAAATGGCCTTTCGGATATCATCCAAATTTTAAAATTTTTTGTCACATAGAAAGTGTTGTGGCAATCAGAATAAATGGAAATCTGATGATGCAATGCCAGGCAAGTATGGTGGGCAAGGCAGTATCTCCCACTCCAATTCATTAATTTTTTCCAGGGTTCATCTTGTGCAGTCTGGTCTTGCATTATCGTGTTGCAGAATAACGCCTTTTCTGTTGATAATTGCTGGACACTTTTCAATTAAACATTGATTTACTCAATCCAATTGTTCACAGTAAAGGTCTGCATTCACAGTTTGTCCAGGTTTCAGAACTTCAAAATGAACAATTTTGCGAATACTTCACCAAACACACAAAAGCACCTGGTGATTTTGTGTTCTTGGTGGAGCATTTGGGATGTAAACCTGGCTTAGCAGTATTTTGTGGTGATTCATTCAGAGAGAGTCACTATCTTTTGCATTTTGAATTATTATAGAGGACCCATTTTTCATCTCCAGTGATCAAGCAATCAAAAAATGCTTCTGTATTGTGCCATTGAAGCAATAAGTTGCATGTGGTGGATCGGTCAGCTTTGTTTTCTTTGGACAGATTATGCGGGACCCAAACACCTGCTCTGCACACTTTACCAATCTGCTGCAAATGTTCTTAAATGATTGAGCATGATCGGTTAAGAGTGTTTAACAGTTCCTTGATTGTCTGACATGGATTTGCTTCCACTTCCTCCATTAACGCGCCATTGTCTAAAGTTGTTGGTCTTCCTGATCGATATGAGTTGGAAAGATCAAAATTATTGGATCTAAACTTAGAAAACCACTGTTGGCATTTACGAATGTAAAGTATTAAGTTATTTTTACGCCTTTTACAACAATTAGCGACACGACTTTGTGCCGGAAATAGCCATTACCTAACAGATACTTTATGCGGATTCGCATTAATGTGCTAGGCCTGGACTTTAAGTGTGAACTGAAAGAAATAATGACAAAGTTAGTCAAAACCAATCCAATATTTAATAATTCTAATAATGACTACAGTAATACCTCGACTTACTCGAACCCGGAGTTACGCGATTTTCAAATCTCGTTGATTTGTCTTTTGTTTGAGCGCCACGCAACCCTTGATTACTCATTCCCTCCACACTATTGTTCAGCTTACATGTTCGAACATGTCAAGCGGAATCGACACATAGCTACAATTTATTTTCTGTTATTTATTTCTGTGTTTGTTATATCTACAGAGATTCGAGAGACTCTACTATGTCATCCAAACGAAGTAGAACTAATTCTTCCGCATCAAACAAGAAAAGAAAAACTTTATCTTTGGAATGTAAAGTATTGGGTAAGTTGGGTAAGTTCGTAAAGTCGAACGAGTTAAATGAGAATGATGTCATCGTTATTCCTATTTTGTTAGACTTTTGGAACGATTTGTTACTAATGTGTTTAACTCGTTTGACTTTACGAACGTACCCATTATTAAAGCCTTCGATACAAAAATGAAAATTTGTGAATTGGCAAAGAAGTTTGATCTACCGGAATTGTCGGTCAGAACAATTATAAAAGGCAAAGAAAAAATTCTCGAAGCTGTGAAAAATGCTCAATCTTTAAATTCAAGCATCATTCGTAAACGTCACAGTATTATCGCTGAGATGGAAACAATGTTAAAATTATGGCGTAATAATCAAGTAAATGTGAAAAATTGTAAAATAATATAGGCCTAATTTGTTATACATNATTCGTAAACGTCATAGTATTATCGCTGAGATGGAAACAATGTTAAATTTATGGTGTAATAATCAAGTAAATGTGAAAAATTGTAAAATAATATAAGCCTAATTTGTTATACATATGTATTATCTAAGATTTTATTAAACATTTTTTTCTAAATTATTGTTTTCTTTAGTCTCCGGCCCCAATTAAAAATTATTTGTATGTATTTATATGCAAAATTATACCCCGAATTACGCGAATTTGACTTACGCAGTTACCGCTCGGTCCCACCTATCGCGTAAGTTTGGGGTATTACTGTATGTACAAAAATTAGTAACAACCAAACAACAAATTTATTCAAAGAAAATCAATAAGAATCAACCCGACAAAAAAACTCAAATCAATCTATTTGCTAACTTAAATCTATTCCCTTTTGGAATTCGACAAAAAATTCAAAGACTTAACTTATGAACTAAGGTCCTAATCATCATCTCAATATACTAGGAACCTTTTTCCTCAACTCTCAAGACTTTCTAATCTTCGATCCACAAATCGAATAACTTCAAATTGCCTTGGAACCACTTTATCGCTATCGGATGCCTCTTGTCGTTTGCTGCTACGAAGCTCACCTCAGTCATCTTCACTTGAGGTTCGGACTTTATACTATGAGGTGACGTCACAATTCTGATTGAGATCACTCCCCTCATTTACATACTTATTGCTAACAGTAAACTTTTCCTTTCTGCCTGGCAGCCTATTTCCCAACAATTCGCGCTAACCTTTTACATTATTCTTTTTTACAATTTTTCAGGATGTTTTATTCTTTAAGGTTTAGCAAGTTCCTAAGTTGTGCTTGTGGGATCTCCCCCTCTTTCTCGGTGCGGACTTACTTTTTTCCGCTCGGGAGCGCAAGTGTGCACGAGTTTTTTCTACTGCGCTTTTTTTTCGCCGGCGAGTTGGTTCTCTTTCTTCTATTTTTAAGTTTCTAAGGTGAGTGGTGAGGAAACCTTCGTCCTAACAAAACATAAGCCCAAACAAAATAGAATAAAAAGCAAAATAAAAAATAACTAAAAATAATGCTCGGACTTGGTTCCTTACACCAATGTCTAATGCACTTGAATATTGCAATGTGTTTGATAGCAACTGTTGCATTACTACCTTTGTAAAACTCAGAAAGCATACAATGCTGGATATGTACCTCTTCTAGTATTTGGCTGGCCATTTCACCCCAAAAAATTAAGATTTAATTATTTACAAATAAACAAGTCACTTTAACCTTAAAATATCTTTTGCACAGCTTTGAAGTACACAATGAGCTGATAAATGATAAACAAGTATTGACGTGTAGAAACACCATTACTTTCCGGTTTACCTAATATAATCAGTATATTACAGTATAAAAATTTTTAAACTTAATTTGTGTTTGAAACTATTTTATCATATAATTTTTTCCATACAATTTATTATTATACATTTATTTAAAAACAAAATTTATCACGATTTGACAATGTTGAATAATGAAGATTCTGTAAGCAATATAATTTGGAGACTGATGATAACAGCACATTTCATTTGCATCAATATATACTATAAAAATATTAACATGTTTTCTAAAAACATAGTACTTACTATTCTTGTAAATCTTCTGGAACTTCCAATTCAAATTTTGGAAACGTGCTTTTTGTAACAGGTGGACTAAATAAAAATAAATATTTATTAATAAAGAAAATATGCAAACATCTTTTGTAAGATTTTTTACATTTTGAAATAATCATGTTTAAAACTAAATTATATCTTTTTAAATAAAAAAAGTGTACTTGAAATAAGAAAAATTATCAACATCATAATTCATTTTTCTATTTTAACTACATTATATGACATTAAAATAAAACAGAATTTGATTATAATTTAATTATGGAAGAATTGCAATATTCTAAAAAATATTAGTCATAAAACTTGATACAAATGTAACATGCAAAAAATCAAATAAAAATAAAAACAAATTAAATACCAATTGTAAAAATATAAAATAAAACAATACTCCATAGAATCATTGGATTTTATTAATAATTAAATATTAAAATGTTAGTAACTACTAATTTGTTTCAAGAAATAAATTCAATGCCAAACCTTATATAAAACTTTTGTGTGTATCAAATTATAAACAAGCAACACAAACTATATAAATTTCTAAAGTAAATTATATTTAGTCAAATCTACTCTCTTCAAAATTCAACAACACATAGTGAAAATGTATTCATTTTATTATACTACAAATCAAAAATTTTTTCACAAATTTATATAAATTTTTAATAATTATTGTTTAATGAAGAAATTCTAAAAAAATGAATTTATCATTTCTTATATATCAATATAGAAAAAGTACTAAAATTTTAATTTCAGAGAATTAATTGTATTTTTATAAATCTTACTTTGTATTCTTAGGACGAAGTCTTTCACTAGCAACTATTTCTGTATATGCTGTTTCCCAACCTAAATACTCCACAACATGAAAGTCACCCTTTATCATTTTAACTGTAGCACGCCACCACCCACATGCTTCTTGTTCATTTGCTCTTGAAAATACCTAATTAAAAATTCATTATCAGTTATTTTCAGCATCTTCAAATATTAAAATCAGAATATATTGTGAAATATACTCTCATATATATGTTAAATTTATTTATTTTTTAAATATGTAAACAATCGCAGTTTATGAATTTTTTAGGCAATGACTTAATTTTTGGAAACTTTCAACATTCAATATTAAAAATAAGATAATATTAAAAAATAAGTAATAAGATAGCTATTTAAACAATATTTAATCTGTAATATCACAAACATTTCAACAAAATATTGTCCTTAAAACAAGAAAAACTCAAGCAACTTAGCAAAATTCCAGAAGTCCAAAATTTACTGTTCACATGCAATGTCTTTAGAAAGATAATTTCAATTTCAATAAATATAAGAAATAATTTTGTTTTTAATTTTTATATTTCTAATAGCCTAATGGAAATTTATAATTACAGTAGTACATCAATTATCTGAAAGTCAATTATCCGAAAGAATTCCAGTCAGAAAATTTAAATTTTCACCAGTGCTATGACGCTGCAATCTTTGGCTATGTCTTGGGCTACTCAAATATTTTATGTTTTTGATACTAAATTAACTTCTGAAGTATAATTTTTTATTGTTTTTATATTTTTCAATATATTTATTTTGTTTGTACAAAATAAAAAAATAATTTTTAACGATACANTGACATCTGAATCAACATTTGACTAAGCATAATCTGCATGTATTTGTCCAAACTTTCCTCAGCTTCATTGACTTACTCAGAAGTTGTGAAGGAAGATGTCTGGATTAGCAAAAGATTCAGGGGTTTGCACTGAACCTTTTATGTTATTTTATTACTTCAGTTTTCTTGAGACATCCATCACTGTAAGCCTCATTCATTTCTTTATTTCAGAAGCACTTAAATCATGTCTGACACAATGAATTTAATGCCTTTGTTCCATTGTTAACACAGCTTTTGTTTCAAAATGACTATCAATGACAGACTATTATTAAAAAAAACCTACAAACAAAAATAAAACCAACAGGAATACCTGTACTGCATAGACAATACAACTCTACATCAAATTATCCATTTCAACACAAAATAATTTTGATTATACCTCAACCTCCTGTCCTTCTGTAAAATCAGCTTTATCACCATCTTTGGATGACGAGGAAGGTGGCAATCGAACTCTGCGAAATGGAAATTTACTCTCTGGTTGCCAACTATTAAAAGGTAAAAAAAAAATTATTAAAGTATGTAAAAAATATTAGGATACAAATATTTTTAAATTTATATCTATTAATATTTAAAATTTTATAAATTCTTTATTGAACAAAAATGTTATTTCTTAAATTTACTTCTAACAATTAAATGATGATTAATAAACTATTGCAATATAATTAGAAAACTCAAATTTCAAATAAATATGCTTGCATACAGAAGTTAATTTTGTTCATGATTTAGGTATCTAGTAAAATTCAAAAGCATTATCAGAAGCTTTAAATAAAAGTTATACAATTACAGAAAAATTATTTCTCTTCTTATGAAAAATATTACATTAATTAAAGCAGACTACTGATTATTATTGAAAATCATAAGCATTCATCTTTCACCAGTATTATCTCTAATACAAGACTTATCAATGGACTTCTCATCAAGTTTTTTCTTTTTAAAGTTAAAATGTATTAAAACCTAAATCTAATGAATACTTAATGAGTTAAATATTTTAACATTTGTCCATGATGCTTCAAATGTAATCACATTAGTGTACAAATTTCAATTCCTTTTTTTCATTTGCATTGAAAAATTCTATTATTATAAAACTACAATATTATGTAGAGTTCCATACTCATTTGAAAAGATGACAATTTTGCTTTTGCATGGTCAAATTCTAATCCATCCTAGTCCTTGTATTTTTATTCAAATTTGGTTACTACTGTATTCAGTCTGCCTTAGAAATATTCTTAAAAACTTTTATTTTTTTGTAGTCTATTACTGATTATTTTTTTCTATGTCATTTTCACTATAATCTCATGCATTTCTACGTTGTCTTCAAATGACTAAAATTTATTATGTATAAAAAAAAATAATTCCAAACCTATATACCTCTTCAAAACCCCACAGAAATGTCTGTGTATGTGGTTTCATATATAAATTTTTATACATTTCATGACACTAAAATTTGAATAATATCTAAAGAATTTTAAATAAAAACACAGTTATAAATAATAGTTTTGACCTATTTTTACTATTCAAAATAGTTTAAAACTATGAAGTGTCAAAATTAAAAAAAAAAAAAAAAACTAAGTGTAAAAATGATTTATGGGGAATAATAAAAGCATTAAGAAATACTTGAAAGGGTGCATTAAATAATACATAGGGCCATAGAAATGTCAGCATTTATTAAACATGCTGAGCCAAAGCTTTGCTTCAGTCAAAAAGCCACTTTCCACTACCAAATATGTAAATGATTCATACTTGTCTTAAGTATAAACATAAATTAATGGCAAGGGGCTTGAACACAGTTTGAGGAAGCAACTTGTAAGCATATTAATTGTATCAAAAAATAAGCAACTGTAACAAAACTTAACTTGTGACTAAGTATACTTTTACAACAGTAAACACATTAGATATTGTCTGAATATTTTCCAGATTCTCTGAAACTAGTCCACAGATCCTAGTTTAGAAGATTTTGATTTGATGTGTCTCACTATTACTAACAAAACTCTAAAAAAATGTTTTATTATTTTTCACAAGACGTGTCTGTTATCATAACTCTACGGATAAATTTCAAAAAGGAAGATCAAGTTTTAGGCCAGCAATTGTAAAGTAAACTGCATGACAATTTTAAGGTACTCACATTGAATGTTTGAGACATTCATAGAACTCCAATTATCCAAGGTAATGTGGACTAATGCAAACTTGGATACAATAGATGATAACAGCAATTTCAGATTAAAAATTACAAATTTAAAAGATTTATATGTTATATCATTTTCCAGCTTTTTTTAAATACTTTTTTGGATTTAATCATATAAAAGAAAATTTTTTACATCATTTACTACACAGCTAATATATTTACAATAATTTTAAGAATAAAAATGTGTATTCTCGTAGTTATGTTTTAATATGAATGTTTATCTACCATTGAAGTTAAATAAAAGGTAACAAACAAATTATTTTTCAATAAATGTTATTGTTTTGAATTTTATGAATTACAGTATAAGAAAAATAATGTATTCACTTACAGGTTTACTTCAGATAATGCAAACCCTTGATTAATTGAGAACTGAATAATTGATGACAGCATTTGCAATGTCATCAATTGTTTAAATGCCAGGCTTCATAAATTTCTTCTCTTGTTTTTTCAATAATTTCATCATTGATACCTGTTTATGGACAACCTGGACATTCATTGTCTTCAATAGACATTTGTCCATTTTTGAAACATGTGCCACTCAAAATATTGAGTTCTACTCATTGCATTATCTCCAGAGGCTTTTTTAAGCATTGTGATAATGCTTAAAGATGATATATATAATATAACAAAATTTGACAAAAAACTAAATAATGATATCTATTACAATGTTTATATTACAATTGGCCACATGCTGAAATTCAGCAGGCAACTGATTGTAGTGCCACATCAGTCCTGGAATTTTTTGATAGCACCTTGAAATATGCCTTTAAGTCAAAATACATTTGTTTATCTTTTGAATACACTTTGCAGTTTACAGTTTTTTTTAGCCTTGGTGAATTGTAATGCGTTCATTCAACTGCTATTTCATATCTGAATTAAAATAAAATATCAAAGTTTCATCACATATGAATAGTTTAGAAAATGTTGACCCATCCCTTTCAAACTGAGCAATCATTTCCTTGTACAAATCAACTTGATGCTGTTTTTTGTTCTGTAATCAAGTTGTATGGAATCCAATCAACACAGATTTGGACATTTGCAGGTGGTGTCTTACAGTTTCATAAACGATACCAAAAGAAAGTGACATCTGAATCAACATTTGACTAAGCATAATCTGCATGTATTTGTCCAAACTTTCCTCAGCTTCATTGACTTACTCAGAAGTTGTGAAGGAAGATGTCTGGATTAGCAAAAGATTCAGGGGTTTGCACTGAACCTTTTATGTTATTTTATTACTTCAGTTTTCTTGAGACATCCATCACTGTAAGCCTCATTCATTTCTTTATTTCAGAAGCACTTAAATCATGTCTGACACAATGAATTTAATGCCTTTGTTCCATTGTTAACACAGCTTTTGTTTCAAAATGACTATCAATGACAGACTATTATTAAAAAAAACCTACAAACAAAAATAAAACCAACAGGAATACCTTTAAAGGCTGGTTACAGTTGTCATACTTTTCCAGAAATTCAGGTTAAAAAAAAAACACAAGTATTATTCTACATATTAAATGATCAACCCTCAGATATATATATATATATATGATATTATATTTAATTAAAAATTAGAAAGTAGTTCTTTTTAGAAGTACTTTCTAATATTTCTAATTTTTAATTAATTAATTAAATAATTAATAATCCTTAACGCCCAGTCCTGAGTTAACTCGGGCATGTTACATAGCGTTACAGAAAATGTGGTCCTTTCGGCCCCCCAATTTTTTTTTTGATTTTTGGAATGTTTTTTAAGTCTCCAAATTTTTTCAAAAATTTTTTATCATGATTTTAATTAGCCTTTGATAAGGCTTGATTAAGGCTTAATTGTTTTTTAATGGGATTTTTTTATCAAATTTAATTCATCGTTCTAAAGTTGTAGTGCAGGGATTTTACTTCGGTAAAGTTATTTAAAGCTACTTTTTGATATCAAAAACGACCTCCAATAGTTTTTTAATTTTTTAATTAATAGATTTTATTATATATAAGTTTAATTAAGTCAGGGGGGGTTGGAAATCGCAATAAAAATTTTAATTTTTTAAAAATATTTAAAAATATACGGCCAACTAGTATAGAAAATAGAATACTTAGATTAGATTCCAAACATTTCTCAAAGAACTCAAAATACATTTATTATTAATATGTATTATTATATTAACATAAATCAAAGTAAATTAAAAATAATTTTATTCTGAAATAAATCACTATATGAATTTAATAAAAAAACTTCTACTTGTGGATAGAGCTTTCCTAAGTTTTCACTCCTGGGAAATTATAATTCAAAACATTCCTGGAAATGAAGTCAAGTAAGCTGGACACATCTAGTGCTGTGCCAATAAGATCTATCAAACTGAAACTAATGAATATTGGTATTTGTTGTCAATAATAAATGGACTTTGTTATGCAAAAAAGCTACAACCATCAATATATTTAAACTGAGTAAATTGCAGTTAAAATTTTTCATTAAAAAAAAAAAATACAACTCTACTTGAGAAAATTTCCATTTTTTTTTCTATAGAGTAATTTCAAATAATTCAATATAAAGCAATAACAACTTTTTTTTTTGAAAGAAACTATACATTTTTGGAAGTAGGTAGAATTCTGCATTTTGCAAAATTGATCAAAAAGTGTTTAAAATGACATTCCTAGCATACTTAATCAATTTACTTTTTAGTTTCAGAAAAGATACAAGTTAAATAAAAAACATTACATACATTAATCATCATTTTAATCAATATCAAGTTGCCTCACATTAAAGCTGTCTACATCTTCAGCAATCCTACTGTGACATCACCTTTAAGTTCATATAAAATGTCAAAGCAGTCTGCTGGAATAAAATGCATCATTTCATTTCTTCAAATTGTCAGGTTTTAACTTAGCTACAGTCTTGTCATTTGGCTGTAATGATATTGTTAGATCATTAAAAATATCTATTACTTTTTCAGTAGACTTCCTGCCTCAAGTAACTTTGTTTATATTAATTACTTGGATAGGTTACCTGTGTGGTTTGTTTTTGTTCTGTAAAATGAAGATTGCACAATACTAAATTTTACATGACTTCAACCCATTTTTTGGACATTTGAGGGTTAGTAGTTTTTTGCATAACCAGGCCCAGAATTCAAAATTCTATTTATTGCTATTATTTTAAGAAACCCACATATAAAATAACTTCCATTTAATAAAGTGTTTTGAATAAATTTGATTGTCTGTTTTGTCTATTAATCAAACATTCATAAGCTGTTCATTATTATGAGTAAAAGTACTTAACTGTGAAAAAAATTGATGAAAATAGTGACATTAAATTTAAAAATT